TCTAGATTTTAATATCTAACTTACGTACTTAGGGCGACCCTCCTGTTCTAGATTTTACTACTACTACTTACGTACTAGGGGCGACCCTACTGTTCTAGATTTTAATATCTAACTTACGTACTTAGGGCGACCCTCCTGTTCTAGATTTTACTACTACTACTTACGTACTAGGGGCGACCCTCCTCTCCTAGATTTTACTACTACTACTTACGTACTAGGGGTAACCCTCCTCTCCTAGATTTTACTACTACTACTTACGTACTAGGGGCGACCCTCCTCTCCTAGATTTTACTACTACTACTTACGTACTAGGGGTAACCCTCCTGTTCTAGATTTTACTACTACTACTTACGTACTAGGGGCGACCCTCCTCTCCTAGATTTTACTACTACTACTTACGTACTAGGGGTAACCCTCCTGTTCTAGATTTTACTACTACTACTTACGTACTAGGGGCGACCCTCCTCTCCTAGATTTTACTACTACTACTTACGTACTTAGGGCGACCCTCCTGTTCTAGATTTCACTACTACTACTTACGTACTAGGGGCGACCCTCCTCTCCTATATTTTACTACTACTACTTACGTACTTAGGGCGACCCTCCTGTTCTAGATCTTACTACTCCTACTTATGTACTAGGGGCGACCCTACTATTATAGATCTTACTACTCCTACTTACGTACTAGGGGCGACCCTACTCTCCTACATTTAACTACTAGAACTAACGTACTTAGGGCGACCCTACTCTTCTAGATTTAACAACTACTACTTATATACTCGGGGCGACCCTACTGTTATAGATTTAACAACTATAACTTACGTACTAGAGGCGACCCAACTGTTCTAGATTTTAGTATCTAACTTAACGTACTAGGGGCGACCCTACTGTCCTAGATTTTACTATAACTTACGTACTTAGAGCGACCCTACTCTCCTAGATTTCACAACTACAACTTATATACTTGGGGCGACCCTACTCTCCTAGATTTCACAACTACAACTTATATACTTAGGGCGACCCTACTGTTATAGATTTAACAACTATAACTTACGTACTAGAGCAACCCTACTCTTCTAGATTTAACAACTACAACTTACGTACTAGGGGCGACCCTACTGTCCTAGATTTCAATAACTACCCCTTATATACTTAGGGCGGCTCTACTATCCTATATTCGAGGTATAGCTATAAATAACAAGTTATACACTAGGGGCGACCCTACTGTTCTAGATTTCTAGATATAGCTATAAACAAATACGACTTACGTTACGTACTAGTAGCGACCCTATTATCTTTTTATCTATATTTCCTTATTAGATACCTAACACTATTAGGTACTCTTATATACGTAATTCTAGTCTAATTAGAATGTAGCTTTTATAGTTACCTATAGTATACCCCCGTACCTCTATACTGAATTTCTAGAACTAACTATTAATATTTAGCTTTTATACTTCTAGGTCAATTAGAATTTAGTTACAATATCTTATATATCGGGCTTGCTCTTTCTAGCCTAGACCTAGTATAACTCTCCTACTACGCCTATTCCTTTCTATATAGGATAGGTACGGCTACGCTAGGAGACTATATAGTAGCTCTAATATATTAGTAGTATAAGAGGCTTATAACGTACCGAGTACTATACGGAATTAAAATACTTAGTTAGATAGTTAAAACTTTACCTATTAATCTATAGTATTATAGTAGCAAGCTGCTAATTAGATTGCGAGACTCTTATATAGTAGGGAAGAATATTGTTATTCTCTAATAGTTATAACCTACTAGAACCCCTAAACCCTAAGCTACTATGTATGGACCTAACCCTAATCGAAAGTAAAAGATTAATTCGTAAATCAATTGGGTACGAGGAATCGATTCCGGAATTAAATCGAGAAACTACTTGTGAGGGCGCTAATCTAGAGTATATTAACAAGTAGGAAAAGAAACCCATAGGGATTGCCCTAGTAACGGCGAGTGAACCGGCAACAACTCAAATTTGAAACTTGGCGCAAGCCCGAGTTGTAAGTTAGATTTGGTAGTGTAGGTATACTAAGTATAAAGGCGGGTAGTTATAGTGGTAAGATAAAAGAAGGGAATACATTCCCTTTCAAATCGATTGTCGAATCGATTCCTGAAACGATTCCTGAATCGAATTTTCAAACCAGTTTTATTTCAACTCCTAACACCAACTTTTGATAAGCTAAATAAAATTCAAACGCCTAACGCCTAAGCCTGTGTCCCCCTAATCAATTCAAAATTCAACTAAGTTACTTCCCAGTAACTGTTCCCTCTAGGAACGGCTTCCGATTAGCAGCCGCTGCCTCCCAAGCCGGCTGATTATAGTAGGCATATTTCATCATTTTAGTAGCCCTGTCGAACGAAAAGATCTGGCCAAAGTTATGGCAGGCGGTAGAGAAAGTGCACCCTAAGTCAGATTGATTAGTGAATTGTTTCTAGAATCGATTCCCGAATTAACTTACGCTTTTTTGGTCGACAGCCGCCACAAGGCATCGATACCTGGCGAGCGTCGAGAATTTTGGTGGCTACCGTCCAGTTAGGCCGACCACCCTTAAGGACTAGAAGAAGTTAGCGAATTGATTGACGAATCGATTCGGGAATCGATTCATACTTGGGAAAGCGCAGAGCTCTGAGTCTGGCTTAGTCTTCAGCCTATCATCGTCGTCGTCAGGGAGATCGGAACTCTCGTTGTCAGAGGAGATTGTCACATATTCCTCGGATTTCTTCGCCCCTTTGGTCTTCTTCTTTGGTGGTGGGGAGGGCTCATCATCGCTGACAACTTCTGGAGATCTGGAATCGATTAGTGAATCAATTCAAGAATCGATTTAAGGCTTTGTTCTTACTTTGCTCCCGATTTCTTCTTCCGGGCATTTGGCTTAGTATTCTCCCTTTAAATTAATTAGTAAATTAAATCAATTTGTTAAGTGTTAGGCCAAATACTTTTTTCCACTCCCCTTGCTAGCATATGGAGCCGACTTTCGAGGTGGCGTCGGCAGAGGAGTTTCTTCTTTCTCTTCTTTGTCTTCTTCCTCTTCTTCCTCCTCAGAGGCAGGTTTTTCTGGTTGCTTCTTCGGCGTCCTAAGGTAAATTAGTTGGAGAATCGATTTGGGAATCGATTCGGATCTTCGCCTACTTTTTCTTGCTGCTGCTCCCCTTGTTTTTTGATCTAAGGACGAATTAGCTCTTGAATCGATTCGAGAATCGATTCGGTTAAAAGCCTACCCTTCCCCCTTCGCCTCCTTCGCCTCCTTATGTCTCTGGAACATAGCCGCGAAATACTCTTCTGCCGCTGCTTTTTTGGCGTCACTGTATGCCCCCTGCCTTCCAGCGCTAACAGTGTATCCAGGGCGCTAAGTCGTTATTAGTTCCTATAAATCAATCCTCGAATCGATTCTCAAATCGATTGGAATACTAACATCGTGTTTCTTGATGCAATGAGCCCGTAGTGCCCCTGCGGCGCCGAATTTCATTCCACAAAGTGGGCTCCAGCTCTCTACTTCTTCATCCGTTTGTTCCAAGGGAGGAATATTCTTCGCGCAGCACCAACGCTCGATGGAATGGATAGTATACTAAATCCAGATTAGTAATTATTCTATCAATCAATTCGTGAATTGATTCACGAATTGATTAAGGATTTGAACTTACCTGTCCATACTCATCCGCCTCCCAGCATGCCATTCCCAGAGGCATTGTTCCTTGCTCCACCATCTTCTCGTACCATTCCGTCGCAGGTGTTGGAGGCATTCTCAATTAGTACCTAAATCGATTTGCAAATCGATTTGTGAATCGATTCGGTTGAATGGTGTGTCAGGTAGGAGAGAGATGTGAAAGAAGATTAATTCAATTGATGAATCAATTGATGAATTGATTCAGTGGAGTGGTGGTGGTGTGGTGTGGTGTGGTGGAGATTGGTGGAGTGGAGGCCACGGTGGATTGTTGTAGTGGATGAAAGGAAAGAGGAATTAATTCAAGCTGAGATGCTTCTTATATGGTACACTGACCTCAAAGTGGGGTACACCCCACTTCGAAAAAAACCTTAAAATACGCTAGCACCTGAACTCAATTCAATGGTACACCGACCCGTGAACAGGGCTGGAAGCGCACGATACGAACTGCCAGCGCATGTCATGGATCTAGGATGCTGCATACCTGGACTTATGGAGTTTGGCGTTGCCAGCCGGTGAGGGCAGCGGCGCGTACCTACCGCGCGGATAGCCCGCATGATCAGTGTGTCACGTTACTGGCACGCTACCCTTCCCATTGGTGACGGCCTAAAAAATTGGACAGTCCTGCTGCCTGTGGTGTGCAGTATACTTTGCTTCACCCTCTCCGCCTCTCGCGACCATGCACGAAGCTCGGGGCGTCGTCATGTCACCTTTTGGCTGCTTCCCTTCACTTCCACCTCTTCCTGAACACCCGACATATCACACATGCTGCGCTGACTGCTCATAGACCTCTCCACCCGCAGCACCGTCCTGGCATTCAAGAAGATACCACAGCACGGGTGATGCGATATCAACGCGGACGTCGTACCGAGCCGAGTATCGATAGCCGTGCGAGCGCCTCGACGGAAAGACAGCATGAGCGGGGGCATCGAACGCTTGCCTACAGAACTCATCGAAAGGGTCTTGACTTTTGTGGAGCCTGGCCATCACGATAAAGAGGTCGACATCGCCCAGAGAAGGCACCTGAGTGTCGAGAGCTTCGAGCCGGCGCCTGTGCCCTCGCGAAGCTCTGTGGCCGACGTGGGCAGATTCCGCAGTGTCTGCAAACGATTCGCAGAGATTGGCGAGCCCCTCCTTTTCACTCGTGTCGCCATTCGATTCTCAGTCAATGGTCTCAAGCGCTTAGAGCAGTTAGCAGAGTGGACCCATCTGGCTGCGCAAGTCAGGCGGTTTACCTATCTTGTTCCATACTTTTACGAAGATGGTGAGTGCGGTGATTGCGCGACGTCGGTCATGCGCTGACTTCTGTGTTTGCAGATGCACACGACCTGCAAGGCCTGGCGGAAGAGTTGCGACGATTCGGGCTGGGCACTTCTGACATCGGCAACTTGCAGCGCAAGGAGCTAGAGCAAC